TTAGAAACATCTAATTATTATTTATTTATTCATTGCCTGACTCTCCTCATGGCTTGAGGTGGGTTACAGCATTACTAAAACATTATTTATTTATTATTAATAATAATAATAATAATAATATTCTTACAACAGCCAGCAGAGTGTCTGCTGTGGACTCATCTTGTTGTGTTTTTAATAATAATAATAATAATAATAATAATGCATTTATTTATTTATTTATTGCCTGGCTCTCCTCATGGCTTGAGGTGGGTTACAGCATTACTAAAATATTATTTATTTATTTATTTATTTATTTATTTATTTATTTATAATATTAATAATAATATTCTTATATCCCGCCACCATCTCCCCAAAGGGACGCGTGGCGGCTTACATAGCGACCAAGCCCAGCATAAACAAGGATTACGAAGTAACATACTTAAGACATATAACACGTAACAGTAAAACAATAAAACCAAAGCATCTTTAAAAACCTCAGCCAACATCGTAACCAGTAGCTGGGAAAAGTGGGCACGTCCACAATTGATTGGGCAGGGCATGGGCTTGTGCAATGCAAAGCTGTAGGGCCAGACTGGAAGCAAAGTGCTGGGGAATCAAAACCATAAGTTAGGGATTGGGCAGTATATTATTTATATTCCGCACTACATTATTTATATTCCACCCTTCTCACCCTGAACGGGACTCAGGGCAGATCACAATGCACATATACATGGCAAACATTTTTGCTATTTTTAGACATACTGATAGACAGACAGATAGAGGTATTTTTGGCATTTTCCAGCTTCGGCGACTGGAGGTTATGCTGGATTCCAGCCACAAGGGGTGCTGTCGCTTAATCCACTATGACGGCAAGGCATTTTGATCGTAGTATTTCCTAGATCCCCCGGTGGTGCAGTCGGTTAAAGCACTGAGCTGCTGAGCTTGTTGATCAAAAGGTCATAGGTTCGATTCCGGAGAGCAGCGTGAGCTTCCACTGTCAGCCCTAGCTTCTGCCAACCTAGCAGTTCAAAAACATGCAAATGTGAGTAGATCAATAGGTACCGCTCCGGCAGGAAGGTAACGGCGCTCCATGTAGTCATGCCAACCACATGACCTTGGTGGTGTCTACAGACAACGCCGGCTCTTCGGCTTAGAAATGGAGATGAGCACCACACCCCAGAGTCAGACATGACTGGACTTAACGTCAGGGGACTACCTTTACCTTTACTATTTCCTCTTTGCTCTTTGATTGCTGGTATTTTTAAAATACCTCCTTACTTTAACATAACTTATCTACTCACAGCTCAGCTGTTTTCGAACTGCTTAGGTGGACAGTAAGCTAGGCTTAACAGTCAGGTGCTCAATCGAACTCGGGTTTCGAACTTGCCACCTCCTGGTCGGCAGTGATCTATTGTTGCTGGCGATTAACCAGCTGTGCTGCGGCCCGGCCCCTTAACAATTACTATTATTATTATCGTCATCATCTATATAAATAAAAATGTAAAATACCTCCCCACTTTAAGCGGCACCTAACTTCTCTACTCACAGATCAGCTGTTTTTGAACTGCTTAGGTGGACAGTAAGCTAGGCTTAACAGTCGGATGCTCGGTCCAACTTGGGCTTCGAACGACACCTTCCAGTTGGCAGTGATCTATTGCTGCTGGAGATTAACCAGCTGGGCTACAGCTGGCCCATTAACAATTATTACTATTATTATTATCATCATCATCATCTATATAAATAAAAATGTAAAATACCTCCCCACTTTAAGCGGCACCTAATTTCTCTACTCACAATTCAGCTGTTTTTGAACTGTTTAGGTGGACAGAAAGCTAGGCTTAACAGTCAGGTGCTCAATCAAGCCAGTGATCTATTGCTGCTGGCGATTAACCAGCTGTGCTACAGCCCGGCCCATTATCTATTATTATTATTATTATTATTATTATTATTATTATTATTTATATAAATGAAAATGTAATGTTCGTTTGTGGGATTAACAGAACTCAAAAACCACTGGGTGAATTGACACCAAATTTGGACACAAGACACCTCTCGGGCCAACAAGTGACCATCACTCATAAAAACACTGAAAAACACAGCAGAGGAGACTTAAAAAGCAAAAAAAAGCCATTACAACACATGCACAAAACCACATATATATACATAAAGACATATACACACACATATATTCATATAAACACACAAAATACATATACAGAAAGGAGGGAGGGAGGAGCGAAGGAAGGAAGGAAAGAAGGGTAGAGAAGGAAAGAAGGAGGGAAAGAAGGAGGGAAGGAGAGAAAGAAGCAAAGGAAGGGAAGAGAAGGAGGAGGAGGAAAGAGGAGGGAAGGAGAAGGAGGAAACAAAGAAGAGTAGAGAAGGAGGGAGAGAAAGAGGGAAGGAAAGGAAGGAAAGAAAGAAGGGTAGAGAAGGAAGGAAGGAGGGAAAGAAGAACGGAAGGAAAGAAAGAAGGGTAGAGAAGGAAGGAAGGAGAGAAGGAGGGAAAGAAGGAGGGAAGGAG